GAATCTTGTACTTTACCTCGTCTTGCTGCGCTGTGAGGAATAATACTATCATAATAATCCTGGAAAAGTTACCTCAGAAGTGCTGGTAGTTTAATTTCGAGGAGCAACAGATTCAGCTGATGTAGTAAGTCATTTATTCTTAAGTGCTTTGTTCTAATCGCGTTATTGATTAGTGTCTGTAAACTGCACAAAGACTGTTTAAATATGAATTGCGTGTCTGTGTGTGAATGAATGAATGAATGGCACAGACGCGCGCGCGTGCTGTGCCATTCATTCACTCTCGCTCCTACATTATTTTACATGAACACATCCAAACTATATTGCTATAGCCTACTGAGATTTGTTCTAATCGCGATATAGAATAGTATCTGTAAAACCAAAAAGACTGTTTAAATATCAAAGACATTTTAAATGTCTCTGTGTGTGTGAATGAACGAACGCACAGATGCGCACTGTTAGACAAAATAAAAGACAATATTTCGTTGACTAGCTTTGGATAGATTATAAAGTTTTTACTATAAGCTTTTGTTAGACAGTTTCTGCTCATTTGTTAAATGAGTGAGTGAATGGGTGAATGTGAGGCAAAATGTAAAGCGCTTTGGTGGCCACTGGGTCTGTGAAAGCGCTATATAAATGCAGTCCATTTACCATTTTAAATGTATAGTTTGTTTTGTCAAAAATAAACTAATCAACTGTTATAGTGTTTGTTCCAATGCAAGCTATATCAAAATAATGAATCCTTAACTTTAAAATATGTATGATAAAATGTATTGGCCTACTTTAAAAAATAATACTTTATATGGAAAAATAATTTTCTTTTCAAGATGATTCCAACTCTAACTTTGAACCAATTCTATAGAATGGCCCATATAACCTATTTGACCAGGATTTGTTTCCAGTTATGACTAAAAATGTGCTTTTGACTTTCATTTATATTTTGATTATATATATATATATATATATATATATATATATGTGTGTGTGTGTGTGTGTGTGTGTGCGTGTGTGTGTGTATGTATACACACACACACACACACACACACACACACACACACACACACACATATATATATATAGATATATATAGATATATTTTCCTTGCATTCTTTCTTGTGTGACACACCTGAATAAAAGGCTCATTATTATGCGGGTCTTTGTCTTCTCAGGTGAGAACCACCTAATTATACATGAGGGGGTTGGGCCGTTCACGCCCATTCGCATATTGCCTTTCCAAACAAAAAAATGTTTTTCACAATTTAAAACAATCTATTGTTTTATGTGAATGATTAGGCAGGATGATTTTCAGATCATTTTGAAGCAAAAACTCTAGGTGACAACATCCATTAGTCAAAAGTCTTGTGGACACATATTTAGTATGTGTTTTGTGGCCTTATTTCATAAACTTTAATTTTTAGCTTTTTCAATAACCATGCATAAATAATATTCTCTCAAAAATACAAACATGTATGTTGCTCACATATTATGGTAGCCCTGTTTGTGCTAAATAGAGTGTAATTTCACCTGTGCCATTAATATGTTTATAAGCAACTGAAAAAAGCACAAATGTCAGGGCATGTCAAAACATATCAAGGACCCCAAAAACACCTTAGACCCCAGAGGGTTAAGGCTCGAACAGGACGTTTCTGAATGGTTGGTTAACATAATGTCACTTTGATCTATCTTTGTTTACTGACAGGGTAGAGTAGTGAGATACGAACGCTATGTGTTTACTGATGTATACGTACACAGTTTGTAATAACACAATAACCATAACGCGTTGCTCATTATAAACGTGGGATTATAAATTATATTGAGAAGTTTGTACATAAAAAACATGCCGTGATGTACCCTGAGTGTAAACCTTAGCCGCATTCATCGTGAAGAGTGCAAGCGATTTGCAAAGATTAATATAAAGGTTAATAAAACTTTACACTCACTTCTTCTGGAGGTGCAGCAGAAACACGAATAGTTGGTACTGATTCTTTTTTCAGGAGCAGCTTCTTAGCAAAACTAGCTTTATACTGACCCTCGTATATAAAGCAGTCTGGTCAGAAATGATTTGCGCAAACATGAAAGCGTTGACGTTGCTCGTGGGGAATATTCCCTTCGAAAACAAAACTCAGCCACTGCGTCTTCAGCGGTTCGGATTTAGGAACATCAAAATGAGTGCTGTGTTCGTTATTACACCCAAGAACAGATCACCACAATCGCTTAGACGCCATTCTGCTCCAGCGCATTGTGGTGGCAATTTTAATGATATTCATTGATCTTTAGTTAAATATAGGTGATTCAAAGAATGTCACATGTGTGTCTCACACTTGTAGTGAGAGAAGATTCTGTTTATGTACCTGGGGAGGCAGAAGAGGGAGACACTCCAGAGAACAGACGAACAAGGACCTCTGACCTAGATGTCAGAAGGCCATTTGGTGCAGGGGAGCTTAGTGGGCCAACTAGTGACGTCTATGGAAAACTACTGGGAGGAAGGCTCTGGGGGGAAGGAGGCCTTGAAACTAAGATAAAAGCTAGTTCAGTCTGTCTGGGGGTGTGTCACTCTTCTGCACAGGGTAACAACTGTGTATTAGACTGCTCCTATTCTTACAAGAATAAATACTTCTATTTTATATAATTTGACTGAGTGTCTCTTACGCAGTGATGTTTGTTTGAGAAGAATTTTTGCCACAACAGCATCAACAATGACGGATTATGATGACAGCTCACTCAGGGCAGGTCTGTGTTGAAACGCTTCTGTCAATCAACAATCGCGGTAGGGGCGTCCGACCGTGTGACGTCACACGGTCGAACGGCTCGATTTGAGGCAGGGGAAAACATATAAGGAGATTTAAAAAAAAACACTGGATGGATTTTTATCATTATATGATGGTTGTGTACAGGCACTGCCAACACACATTTCAGTACAATCAACTTAAAAAAAGTGCATGTATCATTATATGACCCCTTTAAAGAGCTTGAGCATTTAACCCTCTGATGGTCTTCGGGGTCTATTGGACCCCAAATGACTTTTGCTCAAATTAAAAAAAATGTTCTCTTTGTCCAAATGGTTTGAAACTTTCTACGGCTCTCAACACTTTCTAGATCTACAAAAAAAAAAAAAAAAATTTATGATATCTGTTTTTATGTTGGCGTGACAAAAATAGTCACACTCGTGGTCTTCGGGGTCTATTGGACCCCGCAATCAAAATAGACAAAATAACATCATCAAAATCAGAAACAACGTAGAACACATAGACAGAAATGACTGAAATAAAGTGGCACACTTCCAACAATGCAAAAAACATCCACAATCCAAAATTATCATGCTCACCACAGGCGCACACACACACACAAACACACACATAAAGAGGAATACATTTATACAGGAATACATACAGACTATAAAAACTGTTCTCTTATCATTTGTAAAATAAAATAATCTAAAATGCAGAACCACCAGAAAAATAAATTGGTAACACTTAGACGCATTGAAAATGTGCGCACACACACATACACACACACACACACACACACACACACACACACACACACACACACACACACACACACACACACACACACACACACACACACACACACACAGACACACAAACACACACACACAGGAATACATTTGTAAGGCTATAAAAAGTCTTATAATTTGTCAAATAAAATCATACAAAATGAAGAACCACCACAAAAATAAATTGGTGACACTGTACACATAAAAATAAAAATAAAATGTACACACACACACACAACAACAACAGTGAAGTGCCAAACCTGCTCCAACCCTGTCTGCAGAAGTCATGCGGTTTACCATAGTGTTTTTTCAGTACAAAAAATGCTAAATTTTGACAAAAATTATATTATTTTTGTTATAATTGTGATTTTATAATATTTAGATATGAATCCAACTGAATCCAACTTTAGAAACTATATCTTTCAGTAATTCAAATAGCAAATAGCATATAATGGAGCTCTATAGCCATCTAGTGGTTAAAGTGATTTATTACAAATTTTAACCTGTATTTTCCAAAAAATGGGCAAAAATCTTACATTAAACCTTGTAAAATTATCCATGGTATCCCCAGGAATGAAAGTTAGAAATCTGGGTCTTTTATAAAGTTTATTTAACATAAAATGCTGTTTTTTTGTAAAAATCCTATTTAATTAAATATTTATTTATTTATTTATTTATAGAAATTTAAAACAAATCATAAATTCTCCAAAAACTGCACAAATGTTGAGTAAAAACATTAATAAACAGAGTAAAATTATATTTGTTAAAAAATATATATATTGTTCGGTTACAAAATTAAATGTTGTTGTCTGGGGTCCAATAGACCCCGAAGACCACGAGTGTGACTTTTTTTTGAAGACCATCAGCAGCTGACGATATAACAGCAACATGTGCTTACAATAAACAAAATGTTATCGTCGACGCTAACAGTTATTGGTGTGAATGGGCTTTTACACTGTGAATATCAAATAATATTAAATCTGTGATATATATTTTTTTTTAAATCAATCAATCATTATAATAATAATTACAATATTATGAAAACAGCTGAACTACAATCACACTACTGAAAAAATATAGCTAGTTATTAATATAGTAAATAATATACTTTGACTTTTTATATACTTTTTATATGTTTTATCCTTTTTCACATTTAGGCCTGAAACATACTTTAAGTAAATAGAAAGCTCAAATATGTGTGTTTGTATGTTGCATAATATAACACTAGGCCTGGTTTCACAGACAGGGCTTAGATTAAGCCAGGATTAAGCCTTAGTTTAATTAGGACATTTAAGTAGCTTTTATAAACATGCCTTAGAAAAAAAATATTACTAGTGTGAATCTTGAGACAAAACAAGGGCACTGACATATTTGAAGATATGTCAGTGCAAGTTGCTTTCAGTTAAAACAGCTCAAACTGTGAAACAGAGGGCTAATGTTTCAATCTCAAACCTTCCTTCTTTCTCGTCCTCCCTCTGTCTTTCAGGTTTGTTTTGTAACACTTCGATTGATGGCATTGGGACATGCTGGCCCAGGAGCAGTGCTGGAGAAGTGGTGTCCCGCCCCTGTCCGGAGACTTTCCTCGGGGTCCGATACAACACCACCAGTAAGTGCCAAGCATCTCACATTGAATCACTCTTTCATGCTAGTCACATCTGGACAGCTCCGTCTGCTCTTGTTTACGACAGCACAAGCAGACAGTTTATATATCTGTTTTATAGAAGACCTAGTCACTCGACTCATATATTCTTGCATCTCTTGTCAAGCTGATGTTGAAGGAACTTCAAACAATGGCAGGTCTTTTAGGATATTTCTGTGCCTGCGTGACTTCTGGAAGTAATGTTTTGGATGAATGTATACATCTGGCACTGCTTGATAGGAACAGCAGCAGTCTGAGCATCGTAACCGAGCAGACAGCTGAGAGCTAGTACATTACAAGCTTTTAAATTCATGTCTGAGTGTGTGTGGGAAAGAGGGAGGGAGTGTGTGCACATCTTCCAAATTGGGCTGTGTGTGGCTGCATATAGGTCAGTTTTTGAATTCGTGCATGCTACCATGTTATGTTTTACCATTGCTAACAAGCTCACTAATTGTTCTGCCAATGTGAGTGTACCGACCATATCTTCTTTGGTGAAGGAATGTGTGTGTGCGTGTGTGTGTGTGTGTGTGTGTGTGTGTGTGTGTGTGCGCGCACAGTAATGAGAGAGACACACTGCTGTGACAAAATTGTTACAGTATCCCTTAGAGACTAACACCAAGTTCTAAATGCTCCCTGTGGGCGGAGGTGTAGTTTCTTTCTTTCTTTCTCATTTTATCCTTCCTTTCTTCCTTCCTGTATCTTTTCTTTTTCCTTTTTCTCTTTTCATTTTATCCTTCCTTCCTTCCTTCCTTCCTTTCTTTGTTTATCAATTTATCCTTCCTTTCTTCCTTCATATCTCTTCTTTTTCCTTTTTCTTTTTTCATTTGTTCCTTCCTTCCTTCCTTCCTTCCTTCCTTCCTTCCTTCCTTCCTTCCTTCCTTCCTTCCTTCCTTCCTTCCTTCCTTCCTTCCTTCCTTCCTTCCTTCCTTCTGTTTTCTTTCTTTTCTGTCAGCCTGCTTTTTTTTTGTCTTTCTCTCCGCTTTCTTACCTTTCAAATGTGTTCCTACCTTTACATCTTTCAAACAATTATCATATTGATTTTTGATTTCTTTGGCGTTGTTAATTCAGTCTGGTTTACATCAAACAAACCCTGTGGGTAAACCCTGTGGGATTCACAAGCTTGCATGTCTCTTACTGTAACTCTGGTGTTAAAAATGGTAGGTGAGATTGGTTATAACGTTTTAAACATTAGACTGGAATTTAATATTAATTTTAAATGTAACTAAAACTAAATTAACAAACTAATATCTCCACCTAATAATGAGTACCACATAATCTTTCTTGTGATAACATCTTCCAATTTACAAAACTTTTTGAGAGCAAAATAAGCACAACAATATATCAGTGCAGAGTGGATCTACACTGCAATACACTTATTTGTACAATCACTGACAACAGTGTCCAGACTAGGAAATCTAAAGAGGAGGAGAAACTCAGAGAGAAAAGATGAAATATTAATTATTAAATATAGATGAGAAATATGGGGCCAGTGGACAGAGTGAACTAAATGATTAAAGGGTTAGATCGCCCAAAAATGAAAATGATACCATAATTTACTCACTCTCAAGCCATTCTAGGTGTACATGTCTTTCTTCTTTCTACACAATCAGAGTTATATTAAAAAGTATTCTGGCTGTTCCAAGCTTTATAATGGGAGTGAATGGTACCCTAGACTTTGAAACCCCCAAAAAGCACATCCATCCATCATAAAAGTAATCCACACAGCTCCAGGGTGTTAATAAAGGCCTTCTTAAGCGAATTAGTGTATTTCCGTATTTAAAACTTTATAAACTGTAATCACTAGCTTCCGGTAATGTATGGATTACTTTTATGATGGATGGATGCACTGTTTTGGGCTTAAAAAAAATGCTACCATTCACTTCCATTATAAAGCTTGGAAGAACTAGGCTATATTTTAATATAACTCCGACTAGATTGCATAATGCACTAAGGAATGGCCTTACATAGATGCTGGTTTAGTTGATTAGTGTATATTAAGATTCACTGGAGCTGATAGCACGATTTTTTATTTTTTATTTTTATTTTTTATTCCTGTTGGCAGCAGCATATTGTAGAGCTTCAGGCACATCAGGAACATATACAATATTCACAGCGCACTGCACAAAGTCTGTGCTCTTATATCGGCTTTTCTCTGGTTATTATACCCCAGTGGGATGAAATCTGTGTATTTAAATGAGAGAAAGAAAAAGATTGGAAGAAAGAAGATTTTATACCTTTATGTGTGCATGCTTTTTTGTTGGAATTTATTTTTTTATTCATGTTGGTATAATTAAAAGGTTTAATTATTTTCATTTGACTTCATAAACAAAAGTACTACTATGTTTCAACACGTTTCATTAAAAGGTGATCTTATTGGTTAATCAACAAACCTTTAGATGTTTTAACTATGTCTGTTTGTAAAGTATCAACCACATAAAACCATAATGAATTAAATTAATTTAATAATAATGAATTTTCATTACAGTGTTGCCAGTTTATTTGAATTGCCTCTATTGATCCCCATATGCAGAGTGTGTTACTCTTTTCAGCATTTGCATTTTGTCGACACAGAACAGAACAGACTGCAAGGGAGATGAACCAATCAATGAGTTTGTGGAAATGAGGCCTGACAGAGAGGTTAAAGAGGTGGGCATTAGTTAAATCAATAGCAAACAATGCAAGAGACATTTTTTTTTTTAATCAATGGAAAATGCTACAGTGCGGAAATATACAGTCATCACATTACACAATTCTCTTGCATTACCCAAACAAACTGGCAAAAAATCCATAATGTTTGTAGTATCTAATGACACTGTCACCCGGCTCGCAAGCCGCGACAAAGGAGACAACACGTTGGATATTGCTCAAAAGAATAACATTTATTAAAGTAAGAATAATTAAATGAGATGGAGACGAGACAGAAAGCAAACAAACAACAGACTCCAAGACACAAACGGCACGAGGATGGGAGAGCGCGCCCCGTCACAGCTGAAGGGAACTGCTTTTAATTGCCGGCATCAGCTCCAACACAGGTGTAACTCCTTAGTCAATAATGACGTCACTCACTCTAACTCCATCCTGCAAACCAAACAGAAAGAAACCCATACTGGGTTCATAACAACACCACCATGAGGTTTTGTGTCAATTCTGCCAGTAGATTAGAGTAGTATACTGTCAGTACTGTAAATTATTCTGTTAGAATAGTCAGAAATGTACTTCCCCATCTTTCTGACCTCTCTAATGGGCTTTTTGCCCAAAAAGTCATCCATTATTTCTTACAATCTATCGTGCTCTTTAATGGCAAATTGCAAATTATCTCTCTCACACACACACACACACACAGCTTTGTTTTTGTGATATATGAGGACATTCCATAGGCGTAATGACTTTTATACTGGACAAACTGTATATTCTATCCCCCTACACTGCCCCTATCCCTAAACCTACCCATCACAGGAGACATGCTGCATTTTTACATAAAAAAAAACCCATTGTTTTTTATGTTTTTTAAGCTATTTGAAATATGAGGACACATGCAATGTCCTCATATATCACGTGTAAGTTGTAATACCAGTGTAATATGCATGTCATTATACACATTTGTGTCCTCATATATCACAAAAACAAACACACACGCACACACACACACACACACACACACACACACACACTTTGAATGTATATGGTAAAAAAGTTTGGTTATTTAGATATTGAGACTACAGTACACACACAACTTGGGTTACCCTTAGGGTTACGTATCCCCGGTTTCCTGAGAAAGGAACAATTTTAACTTGGACTTGACAACAGGACTGGACAACATTTAAGGTTCATCACATCTAGTAGTGTTGGAGAACATATGTGTGGGAAAATATACAGTCTCAGTAAAGTGAGTTTTTTATTATCTTGAAATTACTTGCCATTACTCAGATGGCGGACAGTAAAATACCATTTTGAATTTGAAGAGAAAAAAAATCCAGCATTTTTGCAATTACACACATGTAATGTGTAATTGGATGTTTTTAACTTTTAATTAAATATGGAGCTATAAACAGATGTTGTCTTTTATGTAGTACATAGAGTTCAATTAATGGGTCAGAAACTATACACAGCCTGCTTAATGCTACACATCTGCTGATAAAAAGATGAATCAATATCAGTTTAAAACCTGTAGCAGGTATAATGCTATAGATTAACTATAAAGACGATCTCAGTTGTAGTTGTGCAAAATATACAAAACAAAACAAGATTTGTGCTAAACAAAAACATTTACAAGATATACTTTAGTTATTCAAATAAAGCAATAGAATGTATCTTTTGTTCAATTCCTTAGTAAAAGACTTAATCTCAGCCTCACGTTTCTTTGTATTTGCAGTTTGATTAACCCTTTGATGCGCAAGCTATGGATACCCCCTCTAATGCACAACATGGGTCTAAAAAGACCCGTATTCATTTCCTATGTTATTTCATGCATGGCTCTGCATTTTTTTTTTTTTTTTCACCTTTTGAAATCACTTTATTTGAGCATTTTATATTTCATGATCTATAAATTTCATGATTTATGAATATTCAAAATATCTTGATTTCAATTATCACAAATTCATATTTTAATATGTCCTAGGTGTTGTGTAAATACATCAAGTTTACACACATGGGTCTAAAATGACCCATCTATGCAAGCGTGATAAAACAAAAGAATAAAGAAAACTTTTTGTTAAAATAATCATTGTCACAGTTGTTTAGATCAACACATTTACTGTAACACTTGAAATATGTTTATTGGCCACTTTGTCATGCATAACACACATATAACCGATAACACTGAAATTGAACTGTAGTGTAGTGCAACTGTAGGGGGATCTCCACACCACCAATGTGCAGCATCCACCCGGATGATGCGACAGCAGCCATAGTGCACCACACGACGGCTTATGTGACCGATAGCATTGATTTATGACCATTTATAAAAA